GTTCTTGGTGTGGGCGGAGATTTGGAACGTTCCAGAGGTGGCACAGACGTTCAGTTGCCCTTTTGACGCGTGCTGGATCCGGGTTGGTGACTGCACGGAACGACATTGTCGAGTGTCGAAGGAAAGTGCAGACTTCCCAAGTGGGAATAGGGGCTTTGATGGTGATTTGATTGGCTGTACTGTGGTCGAACGCGGCCACTTTTCAGAAATCTAAAACATAGAAATTGACGAGAAAAGTTCTGTGATAACGTAGGTGGTACAAATTCTGTGCTACGGCAAGTTTGAATTTCGACCCTCTCGAAATTTTGCCCAAGTCAAAACAACCTCGGCATCTTCCGCGCTTCGCCTAAATCGGCTGATTATATTCCCGTCAGGTCTGATCGACTCATCATCAAACCATCGCCCGGCGAATCCGACTGGTTTACGAGTCTAATGTTGACAGCCGGCTCGATATCCATTCGGCACCGACTCGACGGGATGTCGGAGATGAAAAGAGAAGACACCAGTAGTGTGTGGTGCACGCACCGGTTAATTTAACATGCGTTGAGAATGCCACGGCGAATCGGGGATTGATTCCCCGCTGGTGTATGCGCGACAGAAGTTCGACTCTTTTGGTTGAAAAAGCTGAACCGGTGTGTATTTTTGTCATTGCGTAGATCTTCGGTATCTTCTTTCAAAGGTGAACAAATAATGGCTGTCATGGTCATTGAGGAATTCCACCGAATTCAACTATGGATCGGATAACAACTTGGTAGTATTGAAGATGTTGAATAAGTGAGCGCAATGATCCGCACCTGCTCCGCATATGTCCGCACCGCTACGTGGGCTCGGAACGCAGTGATTCCAAGGGGTGAGGGAGAGGAGGCATGAGGAGCATGGTGAAGGACACGAGTCTGAGGAAGGAAAAAGGGGCAGGGAGGGCGACAATGCATGCATGCATTACAGGCGCTCCGAGAACGAGTGAAGGACGTGAGAAGCAGGTAGGAAAAGAAGCGATAGCGACAGATACACAACAACCACCTCTTAACTAATCCATTTATCGAGTTAAACTCTTCTAACCATCCCTAGCCACGCACCAAAATGTACCACCTATGCCATTTCAGGCTCCGAGAACCAGGCATTCTCGGCGCGGTAAGCGGGCTCCTCGCACGGCACCTGTTGGCCGGACAGGTAGGGCGGGATCGCGTTGCCGCGGTTGGCGATAAAGATGGCCAGACGGATGCCACGGGCGTGGTAGCCTTCTCCGAGGCGCTTGACGTGGTAACGCCGGTCGGGTTTAGCCAAGAGGGGCTTAAAGAGGGGCTTCATATTCCAGCGGTTCTGGGGAGTGAAGATGAGGTCGAGGTGGTGGAGCTTGGGCAGATACTGGTGCAGAGAAAAGGGTGGTGGGATGCCCGGGATGCGCGCGTAGCCGACGCCGCCGACGGGGTGGTCCAAGACGGTGCCTTCGTCGTGCCGGATGATACGCAGTCGGTCCAGGTTGGGCGGCGCGCACTCGGAGATGAGGTTCGAGAAGAGCAGTGCGGAGGCGCCGTCGAGGGTGAGGGCGTGCAGCTCAGTGAAATCGTACAGGCCTGTCCCAGGGGCGGTGGACACGCGACGGACGTCTGTGTCGTAGGCGAAGTCCTTGTCGAACCAGGTGAGTTGTTGGAGCGAGTGGCGTTGCTGGCGCAGGGCCTCGAGTTGCTGCTCGGGTGACGCTTCGTGATAATTATTGGAGGGGGAGGTGTGATAGCGCATGCTGCCCAGGTGGCAGGACCGCAACGCGCGAGGGAGTGCCAGCACGGCGGTCAGCGCCTCTTGTGACACGAAGCACTCAACCAGCCCGAGATGGGTCAAGGCTGTGGTGCTGGCGAAGGCGTCCAGGCCGTCGGCGAGGTCGTCGCCCAGGACGGCGCACGAGACGGTGAGGCTCTGCAGGGCCGGCAGCGTGAGGATCGGCTTGAATTCCGTGAGCAGCCAAAAGCGGCTGTCGTCACCCGACCAATGGATCGTCACTCCAGTTGTCAGCACCTGCGACCAGAACAGACCAAGAAAAAACTTACAGCTCGTGAGCTTCTGTAGGCCAGCGCCGCACTGGGCATCGAGGAACAGCGCGCGGTAGCTCTGCATCAGCGCCTCCCACCGGCGACTGATCGCCCTGGAGCGCCTGTGGCCGTAATTCGCGAACGGGCTCTCCATCGACAGCGCGCGAAGCTGTGTCATCGCCCCGATCGGCGGCGTCAGCTCCTCGAGGTTCGCGTTACTGCCGTAATTTGGCTGCAGGTCCAGCACTTGCACGAGCTCTGCACGTTGCTGTTGCTGTAGGGCTTTGGCAAGGCACGACGCTTGCGAGCCGGTGGTCACCAGGACGGCGCGGTAGAGGGCTGGCTCGGCCAGCAGACGGGCGAGCTTACAGGTGAGGGAGAAGCTGCGAACCGATGCCACGTCGTCGATGGCCTCGACTACAGCCAGGAGGAGCTCGGTGGGGACTGATAGCAGCGACGCCATCTTTGCTACTGTAGGTCTGGGTTTGTTCTGTCGATGTGCGAGTTGAGTTCGGTGCCCGGGCCTTGATCCGACAACACTGCCACCTAATGTGGCCGCCGGCTCAGCCGGTCGATTTCCTGAAATTGACTTAGTACCCGAAATACATCAGTAGAAATTCTGGAAATATTTGGGCATCTAGAACACCATAAAAGCAGTGGGATATACTGCGAACATTAAGTCTTTTGTGCAACTGGTCCTTCGATATTTGATCAGCTTACTCCATGCTGTACTCCGCCGGCAATCTCCGTTATCGGCTCTCCGTTTTTATAGACCCTGGCACCGAAATCAACTAATTTCCACTTCTTCATTCGAAGTGGTGGGGCCGCTGCGGCCCACCGCGCTCTTGTAAACGGCTCACATCAAATATCATCGCGATATCTTGGCCAGATGCTTAGTAGTAAGGGAAGCCTCCTCGGCTTTCAGGGTGCTCCAGATACCCATTTTTTTTCAGAATTCTCTCTAATGTATTCCTTGTAGTACATCAATTTCAAAAAAAAAACGGCTATAGCCGGCGGCAACACTACTGCCACCTGGCACCCAGACGGAGGGGACGTCTCCCGTGTCGACGTACAACGTTGAACAGAAAAAACGTGTTTTGTTAATCCCGCTTGAAACGGGGCGCCGCGTGTCGCCTCATGCGTGGGCACCGACAGCGGAGCTGAAGCGAACAGACATGCCAGCAAAGGACGACGAACGTTCCTTGCCTGCACCGGAAGTGTAGTCCGCGTCTGACTTCGCCAGTGGCGAGCGCAAAGCGCTAGAAGTTGCTGTCGTTCACCTACATCATACCTTACTCATCTCATTTATCTACACACACGATACCCCCCGTGTACTCTCTTTGCATCAATAATAGGGGAAGTCAGAGTACTGACTCGCGAGTCGATTCTGGTGTTGATTCTGATTTCGATTCTGGTCCACTTCGGAGTCCGGAGTCGGTTTGTGTTACGACTGAGAATCGAAATCATCGATTCTAGAGTCGATTCTGATGTTGTTCCTCCTCCAGAGGAGGAACAACGATTCTGTTTCGATTCTTGGTCGATTCCAGTATCAGAATCGGTTCAGAATCGATTTCTGAATTGCCTCAGAATCGACACTGAATCGCCAACTCTGACTTCCCCTAATGAGAATTATTATTTTGACTTTCTGCGTGAGTGCGTCGGCATCGTTGACCTAGGATAGCCAGGTTCAAATAAAGCTGTAGAAAGCACTGGTTGTGTATGGTACGACACCCGCCGGTCATTGGGATGATTGGCCCACTCGACTGGCCGCGGCGGATGGGGGTTCGATTCCCCCCCAGTGCACTGTGCATGTTGTGCATGTTTGCATCGACACTTTTTTTTTCTATTTTTTCTTTTTCAATTCGATTCCCCTTGGGCTGAGATTGGGCTGGGTTGAGAGGAAAATTGTATTCGATTAGAGACAAGGAGGGGCATGAAGAAGTATGTATATGGATTCACTCACTCACTGACTCTGTAAGACAGGGCATTGCGGATCCCGGGGGCGGTTGAAGAAAAAGGAAACACCGGGACTGTACCGAGTGAGATGTTGTAGAGGAGAAGAGAAGACACCAAAGTCACGCGCCGACCAATTCCGAAAGGACGTACCACGGCGGGTCGGGGTTCGATTCCCTGCTGGTGTATAGATGGGGGTGAAAGACGTTTTTTTTGGTTCGAGGGAATGAAAAAACTGAGCCGTTATGTATTTACCATTTTATTGTAGTGTCCATTGGCAGCTAATCTTGGGGGCTGTGGTGAACATGTTGAATTGGAAGTAAGTGAGTGCAAGCTTGAAATCTCCCAGGACTTCACTCAGATTAATTGGTTGACCTAGCCCGGTTCAAAAAGAGTTATAGAAAGCACTGGTTGTGTCTGGTACACCTGCCAGCCCAATGTATACTTTAGTCTCGTACTGTGGCAGATCGGGGTTCGATTCCCTACCAGCGTATCAGAGGAGTATCGACGTTTTTTGTTGTTTGTTTTGTTCGGAAGGAGGTGAGCTGGGACTAGGAACTGGGCGGTGCGCGAGGTTGGGCCGGGAGAGAAATTTGGTTTAGACACTGGCAGAGGGTGACGGTGCGGAGAGAAGAGCTCCTCGAGTACAGGATAAACTTGAAGTGGCCGAACAGCCTGAGGAACAGCTGCTCCCCGACTCAGATACCCACTCAGTAGGAAGCCCAGTGGGGTGTGGTACATCCACCAGCCAAGCAGAATTAAGGTGGCTGATGATTTGGGGTTCGATTCCCTGCTGGTGAGTTCGCCGCCGAGGGGTAATCTGTTTTTAAAACTCAAAACAAGTAGGTTGCTGCGGACGACTTGAGGATTGTGGTATATATTGCACCGATGCAGGAGAAGCTGAAGGCAATAGATAATTATGAGGTGAGCGGCATAGATGTTGAGTCTTGGCGGCCGGCTTGATATCCATTCAGCATTGCTCAGTACCCAGCGAGATGTTCAATGTAGAGATGAGGAGAAACACCAGTGGTGTGTGGTACACGTGCCGGCTAATTCTATCAGCCCCCCAGAAATTAGAATACAACGGCGAGTCGGGGTTCGATTCCCCGCTGGTGTGTAGCCGGTCAATGGTTGCTTTTTGCGAGAAAATGCAAACAAACTTTGAAATGGATCGAGGTGACGAGTTTGCCGCCGAATTCATCGGACGGACGGAGGTAGACAGCGTAGACTGATGGTGGCTAGCTCAAGATATCTATTACCAGGTCACGGTACTCGGTGAGATGTTGAAATCAGAGGAGGAGAACTTGGAGAACATCAGTAGTGTGTGGTACACGCGCCGGCTAATTTCCAAAATCCCGAACATACTGCGGCGAGTCGGGGTTCGATTCCCCGCTGGTGCCTGGCTTGAACCAGCTTCTTTTTGCGACAAAAAGCAAAAGCAACCGAACTTTGAAATGGATCGAGGTGCGTCTTGCTGCGGAGTTCATCGGAACGACGGAGGGCCGCCGCGGAGGGTAGCTGCAGGCGGCGTAGATTATTGACAACCGGCCAGCTCACGTTATTACCCATTCAGCATTGCCCAGTACTCAGCGAGAGGAGAAGAAACACCAGTGGTGCATGGTACACGCACCGGCCAATTCAAACGGCACGAGAATAATATAACGGCGAGTCGGGGTTCGATTCCCCGTTGGCGCATGAATAATGAGGTGCAGCTCTTTTGGTTCCCAGAGCTTGGCGCGAGGATGGAGCTACGGAGCAAGGGAATGAAAACACTGAGCCGGCAGGCATATGTATTTTTATCGTAGCGTCCATTGGCAGCTGATCTCGAGAGCTATGGTGAACATGTTGAACTGGAAGTAAGTGAAGCCGAGCACAATGAATCTCCTGGAACTTCACTCAGCTGCAGTTTAATTGGTTGACCTAGCCAGGTTCGGAAAGAGCTGTGAAAAGCGCTGGTTGTGTGTGGTACATCTGCCCAGTGCCAACTCGATGAGTTCGTGCTTCTTGCAGATCGGGGTTCGATTCCCTGCCGGCGCATCGTAGAAAATGTTGAGAGATTTTTGCGTTTGTTTTTTTGGACCTGGAGGCAGTTCCACCAGTTGGACTTGGACTAGGTCGGTCATTGTTACTCTGAGTCACAACTAGTAGGTTCGTCGTTTATACGGGGGTGACCAAATAGATATATACTGCGGTCGTACAGTTCAAATCACAAGCAATGCCTTACTTCAAGTTGTTTCAGTGACTCTCCGTCTCTACTCCCAGACGGTAATCTATCACCAGATTCTTCTGCGGATGCTGTAGAGCAATCTCCGGCTCCAATTGGTCTCTAAAATATCCGGGTCTGCTGTGTGTGATAAATCGAACTTCCCAACCTCCCGGAAAACCTCCACTCCGGAAACTCGTCGAAAGGTCGGTCATTGTAACGATTGATTCATCGTTTATCCGGGTTGACCAAGTAGATATTTACCGCAGTCGTACAGCTCAAATCATAGTAATGCCTTCTTGTCAGTGGCTCCCCGTCTCTACTCCCGGACGGTAATCTATCACAGATTCTTCTGCGGATGCTGTTGAGCAATCGCCGGCCTCCAATTGGTTTGTAAAATATCCGAGTCTGCTGTATGATGGAGGAAAATCGTTTTCAAGTTTCAGAAAACAAAACAAGAAATAACCCCGGTACTCTACCTCGGTAACCCGGATCAAGAAAGCCTTTCAGCCGCTTATTCCCCCCGCCCAATTTAAAAATACGATATTATCATATATTCTTGAGAACCCTTTTGCTTGGATGATGTAGTTGTCTGATCATCTTCTGTCGCCTCCCACGGAAGAAAACCCCGGACACGCATATAAGAGGCGATGTGCCTTCACATGACTCATCCTACCTCCGACTCTTAACCATGGCCCCCGAAAACAGTGACCGAACTCTTCAGTACACCATCGTAGCAGCCAATGGCCTCAAGACATGGCCAAAGTGGCAGGAATACCTTTCCTCCCAAGTCTCTGCAGTTTAACTTTGGCAATCGTTTCAATTGTCCAGGTGGATATTAGTTTAATGATTGAATGTGATTCGGAAGCCTAATGGAATCGGGAGGACAGATATCAAATCTCAGCGGGAGAAATGCCTTACGCATGGTAGAGCAAATCCACCAGGTGCTTTGTCTGCTAGCGGCTCTGTGTATTGACCGGAACACACGGGATTGATATCATCGCCCGAAACTCTTGATAAGACTGCGCAATATACACAGTGCGTGCAAACCTTCCAGTGAATCTTTGCAATTGATCCTTCTGTAGGAATCCGCAAAGCTTTCATGCATGTCTGATGGCACAACGAGACCTCGGAAAATAGGTCGATTTTTGAAGCAAGCCGAGATCAAGACCCAACTGGATGCCTGCGAAGTTGAGCTAGCGAGGGCGCACAAGATATTCATGGTCAGTCCGACTCGTATTACGACACAGCGCCTGATGAAGTTTCAAAGATACAAATCGGTGTTGGGGTTGCCAGTGCTCTCGTTGATTTGAATATAGATACTGAGGCAAGACATAATGAGTTCTTGGAACTGCTTTCAGCTCGAAGCGGATCCTTCGATACAAATTCCTCGGTTCGGATCATCATATATTATCTACCCACATTGCCTAATATGGATCTCTAGATACGCAGAAGCTCTTCAAGCAATCGTAGAAGCGAAAATCTACCGCACTCAACACTAAACTGATTTTCAACAGTTCCGGTTTCCTTTCGATCTTGCCTGCATCGCCAAAAATATTTCATGGCCGTCAGTCTGAGCTAAAGGATCTGGTTTTTCTTCTCCTCGTCGATCCCGCCAGGGCCGTGATTATTGGCCCCGGTGGGATGGGAAAAACAACGCTTGCCAGGGCAGCCATACACGATCCAGTAATTGTCGAGAAATACGCCCACCGCCATTTTATTTCGTTGCGAATCAGCGAATGCAAGTGAAGACCTGGTATTCATCATTGGCTCTCATCTTGGACTTGGGCCATCGAGACAATTGCTCAAAGCAATTGTGCAACATTTCAAGGAGTGTGGAATGTGCCTGCTTGTTCTTGACAATTTTGAGACACCATGGGAGCCTGTAGAAACCCGGGGTCAGTGGAGGAGATTATCTCGCTGTTGGCGGATGTTCCCAGCTTGGCCTTGCTTGTTTGTCTCAGATTTTCAACTTAAACCATCACTGATCCTGTGATGATAGCTCACAATGCGTGGGGCTGAACGACCAGCAAAAGTGAAATGGAACCGCCCATTTCTGGCTCCGCTGAGCCCCTCTCTATGTTGGCTTCACTTCAAATATTTAATGATATTGCAGATAAACCGGAGATTGGTGAAGAAGCAGCCCGTGATGAACTGTTGGATCTCTGTGGCAATCTCCCCTTAGCCATAAGTTTGATGGCAAACATAGCCTCCTTCGAAGGATACCCAAGCACCTTGTCCCGCTGGAAAAATGAGGCAACAGCGCTCCTCTCAGATGGCCTGGACAAGCGTTCAAATCTAGAAATCTCTATTGAGATTTCACTTATGAGTCCACAGATCTCATCTTCCCCACATACAAAGGATCTCCTTCAGCTTCTCTCCTTGCTCCCAGATGGGATTGCCGAGGAAGATCTTCATATGAGCAAGGTTCCCATCACAGATCTTGCTCACCACAGATCACTTCTTCTTCGAACATCACTAGCATATGTCGACCCGAACAGGCAACTCAAGACCCTCAGCCCTATCCGTGAATATATTCGCAGGGTCAATCCACCTCCATCTTCGATTTATCGACCCCTAATGAGCCATTTTCAACGCCTGCTAGCTGTTTATGCCTCCTATGCGCAATTTTCACCAGATGATCTTCGCCTTCGAATTACCTCTTATCTAGGAAATATCAATGATCTTCTCCTCCAAACTCTGACTGACGACGAAGATGCACTTTCTGAGATCGGATTCAGCATCCTGGAGGTGAACACACTCTCGAGAATCATGTTGAAAGGATCAAGTCCACTGATGCATAGACTTCCACATTTGATCAATCCAACGGGAGATTCTCGCTTGCGATGGAAGTACGCGTGTGAGTGTCTTCGGGGGAAAGGACCTTTGACAGTCGAAGAAGCCGAGTCTTTGATTACTCAAGGGGTTGAATACTTTGCTACAGTTCAATGTCCCATCCAGGAAGGTATGAAACATGCTACTATTGAAATTTTCACAAACCTCAGTCTTTCAGCCATTATGCTTTACGATGCAGCCGCTTTCTATTACCAGGGCAGGAACCCGCAGAAGGCAACAACCTTTTGTGATTTTGCCTTGTCTCTGGGAATGAGGACCAGAAATCACAAGCAAATCCTCAAATCTGTGGATACCCAATGCCGAATTAAAGATAGGCTCTGGGATGCAGAGGGAATCATTGCGGCTGTGACCGCAGCCCGGAAAATTGGGAGTGCCACATCAGACTTTCCGGACTATCAATGGACATATTTGGAGGCACACGCGACTGTGATACTGGGCAATCTGCCTCGCGCTCTAGCACTCTGCATTCAGGTGCATGAGCAGTTCGTGGCTATGGGAATGGAAAGCTCTGACCTCAACCTGTCTGTTCTTGATGAGCAGGCAACAATCCACATTGCAAAATCCGAGTACACTGAGGCCCACAAATTATACAAATTAATTGCCAGCAAGACCTCAGTGAATCACTCACCCTTTTTTCATGCACATTGCCTGACTATGATGGTGTGTCTTGATATTTCCTTGGCAGCCAACGAGGCTCAGATTCTCCGGAATCTGACTAGTGCGGAAGCTATCTATAAAGCCCTGGGAAGCCAAATAATTTTGTTGTGTTCTTGGGTACATGCATTGAAGAGCGGAGAAATAGAACATGGATAAAAACATACCAGAAATGGTCGGAAATTTTCGATTTAACAGGCATTAATTGGGTAGCATGTCTTGAGGGTGCAGCCCGCGGAATTAAGACGATAGAAGGGAGCCAAACAGTGTTAAAGCCTCGAGGCAAAGTTGGTTGCGAAGAAAGGATGTAGGAGCTGAAACGGGAGTGCAGTTAGTGTCGGACGAGAACGATGGAGACGGTCACGTGATTTCGTAACAGGCCTCATTGTTCGTACCTGTCGCAA